TATATAGTTTTGATTATTCTTTTTGTTTGGACTCACTAGGCGTAAGCCTAACACTTCTTCTTGCTATGTCTTGTTTGTCAGGTTCTTTTAGCGGCAAGGCTCATAAGGGTTGAGAGGAGCGTTGGTTCGTGAAAGGCCCTTTTGTTAGCCTTTGTTACTTTTGAGTGTTGCGTTTTTGATGTTTCGATATTTTGGAGATTGATAGAAGCACCCGTCTTTAATCTAGATATAGAATAGTCTAGATTAGTAGGTTGTTATTTATCATCTCAGTAGTTGTATTGTAAACGCTATATTATTACCTTTTGTTGGGTGAATTTTATATCAAGATTCTGGTTCTCGTTAATTATTTTCGGTTTAAAATATCTTTTTCTTTGGGTGTTACATTCCATGAAGGAGGGAAGTATATTGGTAGAAACTTTTCAACAAGATTTTCTCATGTAACAAGAGTTTGGTGGTTGTGAATTTAGTCAATCCTTAGCTCTATCCTTTACGATAAAAAGGAAGAGTCTAAGCCTTAGAGCTTCATTGATTACACCTGGAAGTTAAAAGTATCTAACATCTCCATAAATGACTTTAAGTGGGAGTGTGGACCCTCAAACGGTAACCCCCCAAACTGACCCATAGTTTGGATTATTAGGAAGATTACAGGCTTGAGTTCAAAGTCATCTGCAGTATATTGGACCTAAGAATCCCGAAATTCAATTGATTAAATCCCAAAATAACATAGTCCCGTATATTTCGATCCTTATCATCGGCAATATGCACCATAGTTTCAACCACTAGAGGTGGTGGTGGGTTAAAGGGATTTTCCATTTCTCGCCATATTCAAAGTGGGATTCATAGGTGGATGCATATTCTCATTTCTACCCCCTTTGTCTCATTCTATGGTTCTTTTTATTTCAAGATCAAGTGGCAAAAGTGGTTCGTATTGCAACCCGCGCATACAACACGAGGTGCTTACAAAAATAAGTTACCTAAGTTACACGAGGAACTCCTACCGAGAGCCGTAGTTTCTTGGGTTTAGCAAACTATTATCGGAAATTTATTCAAAAAGTTTTAAGAATTGTCGCACCGCTAACCAAATTAACTAGGAAGAATGTCAAGTACAAACCGGAAGAAGATCTGAATAAGGATTTTCAATTATTGAAAGACCGTCTTTGCAGTGCTCCAGTGTTATCGTTACCAGATGGATCTGAAGATTTTGTGGTATACAGTGATGCTTCAAAGCTAGGTTTGGGCTGTGTACTGATGCAAATGGGAAAAGTCATTTCTAACGCATCCAGACAATTGAAGGATCACGAGAAACAGTATCCGACTCACGATATGGAGCTTGTAGCTGTGGTATTTGTGTTAAAGATTTGAAAGCATTATTTGTTGGAAGCTAAATATCAGATTTTCACATATCATAAGAACCTTCAACACTTGTTTAATCAGAAAGAGTTGAATATGCGGCAACGACGGTGGATTGAATTAGTTAACGATTATGATTGCGAAATTCTTTACCATCCAGGAAAGGCAAATATGACAGTTGATACTCTTAGTTGAAAAGAAAGGAGTGGTACAGTCAAAGCCGTTGCAATGAGAACGAATTTGACTTTGGATCTTCACAGTGAAATTTTGAAATGTCAAGATGAAGCTCTCAAAGAAAACAATTTCAAAGCGGAAAGAGTTGGTAAGATGATTTCAATCTTGGTAAAGAATAACAAGGGAATTTTGTGCTTCCAAGGCAGGATTTAGATACCGAGTTTTGGGAATATCCGGGAGTTAATTTTGGATGAA